TATTTATTTATTTATTTTCTGTCTCCTTTCCTTCAGCCTCCTATGATCTCGGCGTTTTGAGTTTTACTCTGCAGAATTGGACGCAATTTTCCACTTGTCGAGGCTTCTTGTCGTCGCATTCTTTCTGCTCTCTTCTAATAGAAATTAGCAAATTATTCCTCCATTCCTATCCCTACGATTTAGTATAAAAGTTGATGCACTCCTAATTTTCTCTTTCTTACTCTAGTTTCACCCATCAACTCAAGGATATCTTCGATCAACTAACAGTTTTTAGTTATTTGGTGGGTTTTATAGTCATTTCGAATATGGAGACCAATTTCTCCATGTCATCAGAGCTCACCTTGAGCGACCATTGTGATAGTTGGAGTCTCTTATGAATGAGATCTGCATTTGGGGGGAGGGAGTGGTGTTATGTAAATCTATAACCTAGACGTCAAATCCAACAATTTTAAAATTTTGAATAAGAAATAAATTGTGAGTGAAAACATTGAAACAAGAAGTTAAATAAAATGAAACTCTTTTGTTATTCAAATTTATTAAACACTTTTCCCATTGTACACAGTGATCGATAGTCACTCTTCACCGGAACCGAAGGCCCTTTCCTCAATCACTAAAATCTCATATTTACTGTTCCGCTATGTGAAATGATTATTAGGAGATCAAAATGTTTACGAAGCTTAAGAGCTTGAAGTATATAAACAGGGGGAGGGTGGTTGAATCTAAAGCCTTACCTTCTCTGAATCCATCTAAATCATCTACTAACCAGAGCGCAGACAGACAGTACAAAGAGCTTTTTTTAAACACCTCAGCTGATTCCAATATGACGTAAACACACTTGTAATATTTGCAGAGGCAAAAAAGCATTAGATGTCCTTGAAGTAACTGAAAAGGAACCAGTCAGTTGCCAATTTAATGCCTCCCCCCCCCCTGTATGCCCGTTTAGTAATTATCGAGCAAGTGGATGCATGGTTACATCAGGGAGAAGGTTCCCTCGGTAAAGACCATTAGGATTTGAGCCATGCTAATCGGACGAATCAATTCTTCCTTTCCAATCCTGAAACCCAAATGCTGTTTCTTTATAAAAGGATTTTTAGGACACCCACTTCGAAAGCGATATCAACGCAGAAGATGGAATTCTAAGATGTGTCATTTCAAAAGGAAGATGGACAAAGGAAGTCCTTGTTGATCATTGTTCCGGAGAAGCAGTGATCCTATATATAGAGTAAGGATATCTATTTATTTTCGGCGAATATTCTCACACAGCAGGCATCCTTGGGTTTCATCGTTTTGGCTCGAATTCACTGAAAATAGGGAATACTGGTATCAGCGACAAGAATTCACCCTATCAACTCAAAAATTTTCGGGGCGTTTTGATCAATTTGCCTTAGCCACAACTTTGTTATAAGCTTCTTGGTTAAATCTCCAAGGCATCTGAACTGGGGAAAGTAGGTTCGGTAAGAATGTGCAAAGCAGCTGAAGGGTTGAGCCATCCTCGTTGGAGTTCGGCTCCAGGTTTTACAGAGGAATCAGACGACCTATTTCCTCTTATAGGTCATGGCTCTGAGAAAGCCTATTCCAACGATCGGAGTTCTCTATTTCCTAGAGAGAGAGAGAGAGATTGCTAATATCAGGTAACCTCAGAATACCAGAGTGCTAAAATGCGTAGATACCTCTAAACTAATTGATTTTCAATTAATCCACTATTGTTGAACACAAATTTACATTGATTTATGGGACATCGGAGTCCGACTAGGTGTTTCACAATTTCTATCAGCTCGGAATCGTCAAAATCCTAGATTCTACTACGGACTACTAATTCAGTTAATCACAGCCACCACATCCGTGAAAAAAGAATGATTATATTTCAGGTAACCATTCGAATGTCTGATAAACACACACACACACACACACGCGCACACACTACATTCTTTGTTTACCAAGGACCTGGTACGTAACTTAGTAGTGTGTAGAATATAAACAGGATGCTGAACACCACTACTGCCAAAGCAGAATTGCAAGTAATTAAGCAACAAAATACACCCGCCAATCCAAGTGACAAGAGAACGAGATGACGCATGAATGAATATTCAAAAACTCTGTCATATATGAAATCGTCGGCACATTTGGTGGCGAATAGGAAATGAGAAAAGCGAGTATAAGGGATTGGGGAGAGGAAGGGTTTGGAAGAATGAATATATATATAAATATGGGGAGGTTGGAGGTGGGGGGAGTGGGTTTATAAAATCTTAAATGTAATGCCCTGTAAAGTCTTCAAATTCTCGTGTAAGAGAGGGAGAGAGAGAGAGAGATAAAATACAAAAGAACAAGGAGATACATATGCGGTTGAGTGGAGGGGGGGGCGGGGGGAGGAGGGGTGGGGGAGAAAAGGCAAACAAAAAATTAATAATGAAATTAACTGCAATAATAGGCGCTCATTTTCACTTATGTTCATTAACAGTCATATTTTAAGATTCACCTAAAAAAGTGCATACAACACGGCATGGTATATATACACAGGGGGATTTGTTGGCTAGAAGCTGGCGACTACGAATCATTGGCGTAGGGGACTAGAACTGACTTGTTGAGGATCCGGAGTTTCTAGCGGAGGCTTCGATGAAGTTGAACCATCTGCAATAATTACAAAGAAAACGATAAACTCACCTCCTAGCTCTAAACCACATTTATTAGACAGTAGTAGTTGACTTACTGTCAATTGTTTTAGTCCAATTGTTACGCATCATAGCCTCTTGGCATTCTACAAACTATACACGAAAAGACGTGATAAGTAAAGTTAAATAAACTTCATCTGCATTTATCTATAGAATGAAAAAAAAATCAAATCGAAACTGTTTTAAACAGCTATCTAGAGCAGAGATTTGAGAGAAGCTATTCGAAACGAATAGGTAGTATATACTTATTACTCCCGAATATCAACCACTTGATGAAAGTCATTTCGATCAATATGAGGCTCAAATGACAGTAATAAATAAAAGCAATATGATAGCACAATCTCGCTCAAGAATTAAGAGGTAAGTTATGTTCTGCCCAAACACAAGAATATAAAAAGCTGCTCGCGAAATATAACTACCAACACAATCTTCCGCCAATTGAGGTTTCACACTGAGCAAAAAAGAGACAACTTTAATCTGTATTAACGACGTTTTCAAACTCCACTCTCAGCCTCGATTCTGTTGACTTTGTAACATTAATTAATTAAATGAATAAATAAACAAACGGTAACAAATTAAATAAATAGAATTCTAACCACTGTTTTTTTTGTGGTCGTATCTTCAAGGGAACATAAGTCGGACTCAACAATTTGGTACGGAATGGAAGAGTGTAAGTCTCCGAATGGCTGTCCTCGAGAATCTACGTCCATGTAATGCAAAGTAAAGAAATTGATTGGACATGGTTAATCAAATTTGTGTGCGTGAAATTACAGAAGCGATTAGATTCAATAACAATTTAAACGAATTAAGCTGATTATTCATATCTCGGTTAACTCACCAACAGACCACGAACAATTAGCTAAATTAAATAAAACTAATAGAAGATACAGGCCTCATTCTACGCACCTCATAACATGATTTTATGTATATTAATAAGTGGGCATAAAAAGTGTGTTAACGTACGGCCTATGTTGACGAAGTCCCCCTGGTTGTTGAGAAGAAAAAAGAAAAATTTGTTAGACTACTTGGTGGACACAAATATGGATCTATGTAACTTCTAATAAAATGGTAACTCTGCCACCTACAGTTAAGGACACGTGTCAAAGAATTTTCTAACAAGCAGGTTGAGTAATTTTTAGAGCAACAAGAGTATAAGAACTCACTATGTGGACGTAAAACAAAATTTCAGGCATAATACGAGAAAGGGTAAACCATTGTAGATATAAAATGGGCATTTGAAATCAAAATCATTTAGAGAGTGCTCAAAAAAGGACTAAATGCTCCATGAGGGACCAAGCCGTAGGCTTCACTCGGCCCTAGCACGCAAACCAGAAGAGATTTTACGAATGCAATATATTGCGAATCAAAAACCCCTCGCAAAATACAGCTACCAACATAGTCTTCCCTTCATTAACTTTTCAAACAAGGGCAACAAGGGCAAACCAGATGGCCCCATAACAAGACAAAGGGATGCCTTAAAAAATTTACAACGTTTTCAAAATTTTATTCTCAGCCCCAATTCTGGTGAATTTGTAACACTAACTGATGAAATGAATCAATTAATAAATGATAGAAATCTAAATAAATAAAACTAACGTTTGTTGGGTTTGGGGTCACAGACAGTCGACATACGTTGGACTTGTCAAATTGGTATGGAATGGAAGAATTCGATTGTCCATACGACTGTTCTCGAGAATCTATGAACGTGTGAAGCAAGGTATAGAAATTGATCGAACATTGTGAATCAAGTTTATGCGCGAAATTGCAGAATTAAACGAATTAAGCCGATTATTTATATCTCAGTTAACTCACCAGCAGCCCACGAACGATTAGCTAAATTAAACAAGACTAATAGAAGATACAAGTCTCATTCTATGTATTTTATAACATGATTTTATGTATATTAATAAGTGGGCAAAAAAAGTTTTTTTAACGTACCGGCAATACTGTTGAAATCCCTCGTGTAATTCTAGATGCAGAGAAAGAAGAAAGAATTCGTTATAACACTTGATCGAGTTAAATCTACACTGGCCACCTGCAGTCAAGAACTTAAATCGGAACTCTACTGACAGACAGGTAAATGCAATTTTTAAGCCAAAAAGAACTTAAGATTTCGAATGCTATGTCTCCTGTGTGCACAGTAAAATAGAATATCAAAAATGAAGAGAGTTTGCATCAACCGTTGTGGATACACTGACGATTTATAATCGAGATCAATTAAAAAGCATGTTCAAAAAAATGGAATTCAGAGCTTAACAAGGACCCATCTCAAGTATTTCACCATGAACTTTCATCTTCTTCGTCCAATAGCATTTACCTTTAATGAAACTCTTAACTCACCGAAAAATTATCACCGCCATTATGAAAATGTTCCGATATATTACGGTTTGATATACCCTGATCATCGAATAAATTAGATGAATTCGTAGTAGCAGCTCTCGAAGAATTGGGGTCAATTTTATCGAGGAAAGAGGGAAGCATGCCACTTGATGCGTCATTGTCATTAATGGTACCGGTATTTGCCAATTTCTTCTCCCGCAACTAAAAAATATATATTAATTAGACTAGAAGAAAGAATGTAGAGGCATAACCAATGACAAATTATCGCATTTGAATACCTTGATCACATCTTCCTTGGACATGTGGCTATTCCGATCCTGTCGACTTCTGTATTTGTTAACAGTACTTTCCAGATTATGATTGGAATACGTGTGCATGCAATCTTTATTCGTGAAAATGATAACCGCTATTTCACAATCGCACAACTCCCCCAGCTCAAATGCCTTGTTATAAAGACCCCTTTTCCTTTTTGCGAATGTTACAAGAAGAGTTTTTTCGTCGGCGATTTTCTTTATATCAATCTTCCGTCTTCCCATTGCTTGGTTACTAATTTCAAACCGATTCATCAATAAAATATTAAAAATAGTAACTCAAAGAAAAAAATTCCCACAGAAACACGAGAGAATAAAGACATCGAAAACTTGAATGTAATAATTGTCAAGCAAGAGTCGACGAATAATTTAAAAATATTTATTGAATAATTAAAAGTTTATTCACCTTTGCGAACAAACACAACTAAATAATTGAACGTAAAATGGCACATTAGTTTACTTTATCAGTTATTAAACATTAGAAGTAGTCAGATTTATAAATTACCAATTACGGGTTAGACAACAGAATAAAGCAAATCCTTACAGTTAATTATATCGGCGAGGTTTTGTAAAAAGGGTGTTAGTCAAATTAAACAAATATGATAATAAATGCTGAAAGGTAAAAGATACTCCCATTCATGTTAGGAACTAATTTATGTTTATGAAAATGTTTGTAAATAATTATTTATTAGTTTTAAACCTGTTTGATCAATGATAATAAAACTGAAAATCATACACAGAGAAGACTTATTGTTTGATTTGCGTATTTTAATTCGTCTGGGGAATTACTTGAATTTGCATCCGATCGCTCATATAATTTCAAATACTAACCGTTGAATGAATAGATTTTGTTTCAGTATTTAGAGGAGTTACTTGTCATGTAGGATTCTATTTCTTCAAGTGTACGATAATGGTGCCAAGTTGTTGGAAATGATAGTTTTCATGATGTGACAATGTGGCTGGGCACTGTGTTTAGTCACTGATCTACTTCAGCCAGTTTTTTCTGCAAGATTTGGTGTTACAGCATGTTTCCGTGTTTACAAGAAGACATTTCATCCATGACCATCTCAGAATTGAGTCGACTAGATCGGTATTTCTAGTAAAGGATCGTATGCGACGGCGGGGTGCAATCTCCTAAATTGACTAATGAGGAGGAGATGGACGACTAGCAGCATCTTTTGAATATGCAACAAAGAACGTATTGTGGAGCAACATTAGTTATAAGAACAGAAAAGGTTTATTGAAACGTCGCTGACTGCTTGCTATGACCCCCAGATTTAAATCAAATGCCCCACTGCTTGAACCAGTCATGTGAATCTCTTTGATGGAAAATAAGATTATGTAAAAGCACACCAAAAGGAAAGTGCCGCAATGTCAGGGAAAGATCGAGTCACTGTTGTCCAAAACCAACCACTTTAGCGGATCTCTTCATTTTCAGTAACTTGGGTGAGGATTACAAACTACGTAGCAGTTTACCACACGAATAAGCCCTAACCTATCCTCGCTAAGCTCCATGGCAAAATCTCATAATACTCAACAACCCCGAAATATATAAACAGAAAATATGACGGAATATGTTCATCGGCGGTATTACTGTGATTTCCTAATCAGCTTAATTGAGAAGTGGACGCTAAGGTAATCTCTATTTTTTAATATTTATTGAGGAGAATAGATATTTCGACTTACTAGAGATTAAATTTGCCCAAGAAATAAATTTGGATTATTCCCTATTCCCATCTTTTTTACTCAATATATTTGTTGCAGTTATTCATGGCAAGGAAACTAAACCGGTATTAAAAACGTATGTGCTGTTTTGGTAGGGATGAGAAGAACAATTTTGTTTTACGTTATGGGATCCTATTCCTAACTAGCGCAATCCCTCTCGAAGAGCTGGTTATAGTATCCAACAGAGAGGATCAGATCATAAAGCTTAGTACATCGAAAATGATATATGAATATCCATTTCACGATCTTTCGATAACAGAAATTATCGCTAACGGCTTACACATCCTTTCGCGAATATGCAACTAATATTGCTCCGATTACATCTACATTTCTTGGTTATGCATCCGTTTTTATGATGCGATCCATTTTACTCCACTGCCATTGTGATGCCTTCAGTCATATCTTTGTCTCATAAATAATAATAAACACGCGTTGATGACGATTCACATGGTCTCACTGATTCATGACACATATGTAGTGTTCCAGAATACACATGGATATCAATGGCCTAAGCAAATGTACAATAGACAACTGATAGAAGCCAACTTCTGGCGATCGGAAAATGCCGATTGTTGAAAAGTTTACAAAAAAACGATAACAGAATTCGATCCAGCTGCACGAATTTGCCGCAAAACGCGGCCAACAAGGGGGAGACACCGCATCATCCCTGACCAGCTATTTCATCCAATACTACTGAATTGTCCCTCCACTTCGTATGTCCGTGCCAAAAATTACCCCAGTCTAATATAACTTGTTCGCCCAGAATGATACCAAACAGGATGAAGAACAGTTGTTGCCTTCTCAAATATTTTAACAACAGAAGTTAAGTAACTTCTTAGTGTGACATTTACCAAAATCAAGTAAGAGATAAAACTCAGTTTGGCCAAGTTTTTTTTGTTTTCAGAACTTATTGAGAAGAAACTTGCCTGAGAGCCAACATAAAACACTCGATGCCGTAAGCCCAAAAAGCCATTTTGAGTTAAAACTAACCTAGGCCACTGCCGCGCAAACTACAAGCTTACAACCATCCTACTTTATTACCTTATCAATAAGGCTCTAAGCCACTTGTATTTACACTCCTAATTGTAGACACAGAGAATGCTTAAGACTAGTACAAAATCGAAAAAAATTAGAGAAAACACAACCTCAAAAATAGCTATGATGCCTAACATATTCCACTGGGAAGTTCATACTTTGGCCATAAATGGCTAAATATTGCAAATGAAGTCAATTGTCCACTTAAATCGCGGGAAATAAAAATATAAATACAACGAGAAGCGGACAAGCAAAAAATAAAAGATCAAAATAAAACATGGCGATCGTTAAGAAGCCAACCTCGTGAGACAGAAATCGAGCTTACCATTAGGATAATCGATTATCTGTAAGTACCCAAATCACTACAAGCCAGTACTAAAATAAGGAAACTTCCGATCAAATATATTCAGCAAAGGTGTCTTAAATGAGACTGAAAAAGACATGAAGTTTCAACAAACATATCGTCTACGGAAGAGCAACGAAGCACTTTTGACACCCTAAACCATTCGAAAAAGTAAAACACTGTACAGCGTGCGACAGAGTCAAGCGCAAAATAAGAAGTAATACTTCAACCAGATTCTTATAAAGATAGAGGGCAGGCACAAGATTGAAAAAAATAACGACTTCAACAAAAAACTGCTACTAGAAGTCTAAAACTCCACTTCAGAGGAAGCTGTAGATGAAGAACTGCTGCTGGAACAGCTCGAACAGTTGCAGAAGTCGTCAGACTGAATGGGTGGTATTGGTGGTTGCATACAAGTTGTTGAAGACGGTACTTCAGGCCTATTGTAGACATTATGTTTTTGAGCTTCATTAGAGGATATTGAATTGGGACACACTTGGAAATTGAACTGAACTGGAGAAGAGCGAACAGAAGCCCGAGAGCGCCTTTTAGCATTAATAAATTGTGCACGTTCTCGTCTTTTAACTGCTCCCAAAGGTGGATCAGAAGACGCAGTAAGTAAGGGACGGATACTATCAAGAGGAAGAGGCTAAAAAGATGAAAGTCATTCCTCTTAAATTGAAATGATTACCCTCCAATGGCCACTGTTGTGACTGATTCTTTTAACATTTTTCAAAAAATTTGTGGAGAAATTAATATATCCCTGCTCGTATGAAGTTCTAAAAACACGATTCATTCTTTTCTTTACAATAGAATGCATTCTATGCAAACTGGCAGCAGCATGCTGAAAATTAATCCAAGTATCACCAGGAATTGTATCTAAAGTAAAAAATAATGAAGACTAAGTTACCTGAAAATAGCTTCAAAACGGTTTCAATAGTCTTTTGACGATGGGTCTCACTAGAGTTATTAAAGCTAATTGATTCCGGATTTGAAGGATTTCTAATTGTAGCCTGCCTTTCTAGAAGGCATCGTAATGCCCCATGAAGACATTCTGGAACTCCAAGAAAGATGTCATAATATTCATGGCGTGAATAATTGTCTTCCCCATCCATCGTTGAAAAAAACAAACAACGAAATTGGCTGAAGCATTAGCTTTACAAGTTAGCCAATCAAATAGTAAAATCTGCCGAAGTTATGCAAACCTTGTAAACGTTCATTAACAAATTTATTAAAATTATCACAAATTATTCATAAAATAAACTAATTAACTAGGGTCGTAAAATGTTTCATTGATATCGCTTTTTAAAAATGTAGAATGATGTCAGGCTTTATGAGTAATAAATTTTGATTAGATCTTGAACAAGAAATATTTACTAATTGGTTTATCTTAATGCAAAGCAAGAATGATGTTCTATAGTTCCTTACAAAAGTGCAATCATCTGTCTCGAAATATTATCATTTATATTATCATTTATTTTCTTGCAATTCTCTGCAGTATTTGCTCCTCAAAAATTTATTTCTACTTAAATTCGTTTAGTTCTATTTGAATTGTTTATATTAGTTAATTTAATCTTTCTTCTATAGGGTCAGTAACTACTGACTCCGGATTCGCTGCCATTTATAAGGTTCTGTGTACGTGACCGTTCACTTGTTTGAATCTTAATTTACTCGATGGGTCTCAAGAAACTTAGCTGTGCCGATGTCGATGTGAAAGGAAAGCGGGTTTTGATTAGGTATTAGTATGCTTTAGGTACTTTTATGTTCCTTTAGAGTTGATTTTAACGTGCCAATGAAAGATGGGAAATGCACAAATACTCAGAGAATCGCTGCCGCCGTTCCGACTATCAAGAATGTTTTGGATAGAGGAGCTAAGAGTGTTGTTCTTATGTCACATATGGGTCGCCCTGATGGCCTTCCCGTTGAGAAATATTCACTCAAACAAATAGTTTCCGATGTTGAAAAGGAACTTGGACACAAAGTAACTTTTCTTTCTGATTGCGTCGGCCCAGAAACAGAAAAAGCCTGCAAAGATCCGACCCCAGGAACCGTTTTTCTATTGGAAAACCTTCGCTTCCATTTAGAGGAGGAGGGAAAAGGTGTGGATGCCAAGGGAAATAAGGTGAGTTATTTTGGTTATCATCCATTGATTTTTATTTCTTGCAGGTGAAAGCTGATTCCGCTAAAATTGAAGCCTTCAGTAAGAGTTTGACGGCTCTCGGAGATGTCTATATAAATGACGCTTTTGGAACTGCTCATCGTGCTCATGCGTACGTCGGACTTAATCTTAGATGCCAATTATTGAAGGCTTTTATTGTGGTTTTCTTGTTCGCAGTTCAATGGTTGGCTGCAAACTTCCCCAAAGAGCTGCTGGTTTCCTAATGGCCAAGGAACTTGAGTATTTCGCAAAGGCTCTTGAAAATCCAGCTAGGCCTTTCCTTGCTATTCTTGGGGGGTATGCTTCGACTGTTATTTATTAAATGAATTTATTCTTCCTGAATAATCTTGTCATTAATCGTCTGTCTTCAGTGCCAAGGTCACTGATAAGATTCAGCTCATTATGAACATGCTCGACAAAGTGAACGAGCTCATTATTGGTGGTGGTATGGCTTTCACCTTCTTAAAAGTTCTAAACGGCATGAAGATCGGGAACAGTCTTTATGACGAGGAAGGCGCAAAGACTGTGAAAGAAATTATGGAAAAGGCTAAAGCAAAGAATGTTCAGATACACCTCCCAACTGACTTTGTCACAGGTGATAAATTCGCCGAGGATGCTAAAGTTGGCACAGCCACAGTTCAATCAGGCATTCCTGATGGTTGGATGGGGCTCGATTGCGGTTCGAAGTCATCTAAGGAATTTGCTGAAGTCATTAAACGTGCCAAGACCATTGTCTGGAACGGGCCTGCTGGTGTCTTTGAATGGGACAGCTTTGCTAATGGAACTAAGGCTGTCATGGATGCTGTTGTAGAAGCCACTAAGAAGGGTGCTATCTCTATCATCGGTAAGTACACGGATAATCTTGCACTGAAAGTTTTCAATTTCATGAATTATTCGTTTAGTGTACCTTTTGTTTACTTATTGAGGTGGTGGTGATACTGCTACATGCTGCGCCAAGTGGAAGACTGAATCACTAGTTAGCCACGTGAGCACTGGTGGCGGAGCCAGTCTGGAACTTTTGGAGGGCAAAACTTTACCTGGCGTAGCTGCCCTCTCTGATGCATAAACAGAAAAAATCGTGCTTGGTCGTATGTTAAACTGCTAGTTTCTTCCTAACTCAGCCCCTCTCTTCTTAATTGTTTCCTGTTTTAGCTAATTATTGTTAATCTCCATATGTCTTTACCAACCCCTCTCTAGCAGCTTGGCCAATAAATTTTATATGGACAAAGTACTTTGTCGATTAATGAATGTTATTTTTAAAGTAAGATGGATCATAGAAATTGGAAATGATTGGGCCTGGTATGTCAGTGGCGTAATTTCAAATAAAAAAATGAAGTGTTGAACAACTGAATAATATAAGTTACATAAATTTGCAGTCTGCTCAGGGTGGTATTAGTAATGCTGCCTATTAGGGTTTTAAAAGATTTGGTCTTAAGTCTCACAGCCGCAGTGTTTGTGCTGTCTCGGGATAATTAATTTCGCATATTTTCTCTAAATCGCCCATCATTCGTAGTAACTCTTCAGAGATAGCTATTTGGGGGTCCAAAAAGAGTCATGCATGCTTTAAGTTCTAAATACTAACACGAAGGCTTTTATATTCCTCTGTAAGTTGTAATTTCTGATATTGCAGTAATAAATTACAAATTGAAAGGATAGCGCACTTATTCTATCACACATTTTCACCTCTCAGCCATGTTGATACAAGTGATCTTACCGAACTATGACAATCGATTTGTTTGTGTAAAGCTTTATAGAGATTCAGATTTACTTTCTTGTAAAGTTGATAGAGAGAACTCTACAGATAAACCTATTCGTGAGTCGTTGTGGTCATGTGTGAAAGAGCGGTTTATACATTCGATACTACATTAAACAATGAAAATGGTATGATATATAAGTGCTCCAAACCCAATGGACTAAATCTGTTCAAAGATTTCGATCTATGTGCAACAAAAATGCTTAAAACTACTTCCAATCATACGAAGCTAACCAGTTTACTTATGAAAAGACTCTGCTTCTACTATGAGTGCATGTCGTTATTGCCAATACGAGGCTGAGGCATTAGTTCAGGCTGAGGAAGAAGATCTTAGAGCAATTAACTTCTGCCTCACATTAGCGTTCATGTGTGAAGATTTAACTTACCAATTGTGTTTGCTAATCAATTGGTCAATAATTTAATAATGCAAAAGAGCACATTTTCAAGGATAATATCTGTCATATTTAATGCCAGATAAGCAGAATACTCCACATTTTTGAAAAATTTCCTGTTTTCCTCTTGCTCATTCACAAAGTAATCTAACCTCTTCTATGATTAACTTCCACTTCATTTTTCCAATCTTAGTTTTCACTTCCTTTTACCTGTGAGCACCCTTCCCTTTTCATCATTTTACATTGGGCTAAGAGAACTACGCTTGATACTTCAGTTTAATAAGTTTGAACACCTGCTTCCCTGTACTGCACTAGCAGCCTACTAAGTATTTCAGTGAATAAAGGCTTTTAAATATTCCGCAACCCACCGCAGTCCACTCCCACTGGATATTTCTTAGCTTTTGTGGAGCGTTTTGCGCTGATAGCAAGAAGCCATTTTTTTAAATTTGGAATTTTCAACCATTCCCAAAGAGATGCAAACTCGATAAACTGTCTATCATCCAGGAGCAAAGCGCGGTCAGTCATATATTTCCAGTCATTTGAAAGCTACTCTTACCCCTCAGAGAATAGCAGTATCTTACCAAACACATCCCACACCAACAACTCATATCACCCCTTCTCACAATCTTTAAGAACGAAGTTCAGTAAATGCAGATTTTCGTTCAAATAAATGGACAGTGAGTGAGAGGGAGGGTACACCGATATGTGACACAGATTTGGTTGGGCTCGAAAACAGTACGATGGGAAACAGTAGCCTAATATGCTATGTATGATAATATGAATTGGGGAAATTAAGACAAATGCATGAGGAAGAGTAAGATAGATCTGACAAGGGGGGGGGGGTGAGGGGCGACACAAGCACGTAAAATTAAGTCCGTTGAAAGTCACCTGGCTGATAAGAGGTTGGGAAATGCGGGATTGGGGAGAAAGAGTTGTCCAACTGGATGGTTATTGATGATAATGACCTGATTGGGTTAAATTCCATTGAGATCGTAGTAAAATGCAGAAGAAAGAGGAACGCCACTTGATGGATTGATAGATTATTCAGCGTTTACAAATCGCCCTTGATTTCGTGGGTTAGCCTAGCAATAAGAAAAAATAAGAAATTGAACAAAAAAGCTGAAAAAAGTATTTAGCGGAGAATCTCGCAAGATAGAATCGCCACAAAGAAACTGTGTTTGGACGGTGATAAAAGAGCCTTTCTGAGGCGGTAACAGAAAAGCCTCCAATGAATAACACGAGAAATAAATCATTGATAGAAGTAACTAATATGCGACCCCGTCTGATAGGCCTGTGTCCGTGCGCAACTTTAACGTTGTCTGCTATTATTGTATGCCCTTATTTTAAGACTTTGATTCGCATAAATTTAACGATTATTTGGCATCTCATGTTTTCCTTACTCCATAGACACGAGTAACAACTTGTCGAGCCATTTCGAGGTAACCGCACAGACAAATTTCAATAGAGGCGCGCGAGCCATCACAAATAGAGCTTAGAAAACAATACAAATCGATAAATTGGAAATTTAACTGCGAATACTCATTCCTAAAGGAATTCAAATAAACTTAACAAGTGATAAAATTGACATGCGTTCCCCTTAATTAAAGTAAATCAATTAATAAGTTCCAACAGTGAACAATGTTTCTGTAGGTGCTCCGTTTGACGAAAGCAAATGATTTCAAACATTCATTATGCTTATACTAGAAGTGTGATTGATCAAACGTCTCGATGGTTGCATCCAAATGGGCATCGAACCTCCAAAATCTGATCTGATCAATAACAATGCCATAAATGTCCACCAGCAAAGATATAGAAAGCGTCACCACCGAATTAAAAAGGCTGATTTTACATCCAACCGAATTAGGATTGGCTTGTGCAATATGCGTCTACGAAAGTGGACGAAAAAGACGTTTAATTATCCCCATAAATCGAGGGACCAATAGCAGTCTTAGGAATGCTCCAAACTTCCCAATAACGAGCAACGCATGTAACTGTTATCCAAGTAGACTTTAAAATAAGAAAATTGAGCTACATTATGTTGTAATTATGAAATCATAAGTGAGAATCCATTCAAATTAAAGCAAGTGGAGTGATAAATCATGTCCGCTAGGTAACTAGCATACACAACAACATGAAACCGAAAATTAGATACTAGTCCTGTGACACCGGGACGCCATTGCCAACCTCTAATCGATCATTGCGCCGTGCACCTCATTTCATTGTTATATTAGCAACCAAGTTCAGTTGCTTTTTAGTGAGTAAAAAAGTGTAAAATGTTCGCTTTGGCACGAGTAGAGGCAGAGGCTCATAACAGAAACTTACGTGGAGGGATTAGTTTGGGGTTCGTGGATTAGCACCACCGCCGGTGATATGATCGGAAGTTGCTTGCAACTGGGCGGCAGCTTGCATAGCCAGGGGGGAGAAAAAGTTGGTGAGAGATGACCTCGAATAAGTTTGGCCTCGATGGATTCCATTGGTTGGGGCTCCAGCATAGGTCGACGGCTGTACTACTATATCAGCAGCCGCAGCAGCAACAAATTGGCTTTGCTGTTGTTGTTGAAGTGCTGCTTGCAGTTTGTTCTGAAGTTGATTCATACGAGAGCGTTGCTCGATAACCTCTGCAGCCAGTATCTACAGACGTGGAAAGTGAGGAATTTTTCATCAGGACTCTTTCTTTAACAGTAGATATTACAGATAACCCTTCCCCCCCCCCCCCCCTAATCACACATTTAAATCTACAGAACAATACCGAGCCTATATGACGAAAATAAATACATATGTATTAATGAAACTGGAAAGGTATAGCGATTGCTTAATCATTTAATTCAAGTTTTCTTTGGGATTAAAAGGTAACAGCTAGCTTGTGAATTAGATAACGACAAAAATAATTAAGAGAATGTTTCTGTGAATGTAAAAGCGACATTAAATTGCCAAAAATTAGTCCCAAGATTAATTTCAGAGGATCGAATTGCAATTGCCAAAAAAGATATTCGACAAAACCGTTAAATGCTAGCAAAATTTACAATCTCGCTCCCTCGATTCAGATCCAATTAGTTCAGATCGTGGGAATAAGGAGAATATCTCTGGAGGATTGTTCATCGAACCGAATTGGAACAAATCTAGAAAAGGAGTTCATAAAAAATTACCCTAACTGAACTTTTAAAGTACACATATAGTGCATCTAGGCTATAATTTATTACATAAGAAAGCTCGGAACTTTTTGAAGTAGGGAACAAATTAGAATGTCAATAATAAGTAAATAATGGCCATACTGCCCAACATTGTTGGAATGCTATCACCAAGCTCCTACATTCCCCTCCCCACATCTCCATGCCCAAACCACCTACTTTTTACCCTGGTTCATCTATTGGTTTTTTTAGGTGTGCTTTTTATTTCCCAAGTTATTAACTGAGTCACAAGGAAGAAATGTTCCAGATTGCGCTCTAGTGCAATTTCCCTGACACTGGTTCTGACGACGTCTTGTGCCAGTTGAGACCGTATAGTAAGGAAAGGCAAAAGCTTGGATTAGTTAGTTTGATTCCAAAGCTAAAATGCGCCTTGTAATGGGTCTTTGACCAGAAGTCAACATTTACAGACACGCACTAATGCATAATAGCATGAAGGGTTTTACGTCAGCACAACGTGCTGTGTGCTATTCCGTTTTAAAGCGCCAAAAGATTTTACACCATGCACCACGCACACAAATATACAGATAAACACAAAGACTCCACCGTGTGGCGTTATTAATCACACCATCATTAGCAGTGCTTGGTCGTCCAAACAGAAGTAAACAGTCTCTTCCATTTATAATCCACATGTACTTATAAGGTAGGGCATATAAGCAAAAGGTCATCTGAAATGAAATGTCCACGTCTACTGAGGAAAAGATACCATGAAAATGCTATTGCGGGAAGCTCGAACTCCACCAATCCTACCATTGAAGAGAATTAATCAATGCAGATGGCCAATGCTCAATAAGAACAGCGACCTTGCGACATCTGACTGATCAGAGGTAAGAGCTGAAATATCATGCGTCACTAGTGCCTATTACAATAATCAATTTGGGTGCATGTGCCACATTCTACAATCAGACAAATTGTCAAAAATTTATAATATGCAAGATTAGGAAATCGTGTTTAGAACCACCATATATCAAAATACTCACCATTATAAGTCTTAAAAATTAAGATCAAACCAAAAGCGATCATAAAACTTAAGAAATGAAGTCATTGTAAAACAAATAGGGTGTGGCTGCAACTTAGGTGAAATGATAGAAAAAAAATACTAGTTTCAAGACTCTGCACTCCCTTGAAAAAAAAACAAAACAAATACACAATAGATTACCTGAATTTGATCTGTGTACTTGTCACCATGCTGCAGCGTGGGAGTAGGTGGTGCCGGGGCGAGAGAATGAACCGACGAGAGTCCACTGAGACTCTCAGCAGGTGGTCGATATGGTGAGGCGAAAAGTCCGCTGGTTGATATGGTGAGTAGAGGCTGTTGTTGTGGAGGAGGAGGTGGTGGTGGACTGGAGAAGAAAGACCAATCTGCTGTGCACTGAGGCTGATGTAGTGCCAGTGGAGCAGAAGTTCTATTCTGTTGAGCGGAGTAGAAGTAGGAGCTCATGCGAGCGTTCTCCGTCACTAGGAGGTTGCAGGTTTGGGTCAGCTGCTCCAACTTAAACTCCAAGTTGGCCATTTCTAATGAGTGAAAGGGGACTATTAGTACAAGAAGATTCTAAAAATGTACTTTAAACACACACACACAGACAGTCAGTTGACAGCATTAAAAATTGCCACCCTATATATATATATATATATATATATATATATATATGATATTGATAACCCATTTCGCTCAAGATGTTCCTAGCTTCATTCCAAAATAATCACAAATATAACCAGAATTATCTCCAGCCAAAAAAAGCAAAGGTTGCATCAAAGACGACATATCCAACTTCATTTTGGAAGATTTAGAAAAATGCAACCTTTGGAAATTTGGAAGATTGTTTTGTTCAGATTAAAGGAACTACCCACTGTGTTCGCACATTAATTGTACTCACACATTGCCACACCTTGCCACATATCATTCAGAGGACAAGCCAAAAAAAATTAATTGGTGCCTTACTCGCACTTAATCAGGCATTAAACAGAACCGACTTATCATGCTATTTAACCAGCCTGCGGATTAAATCATAACTGCGAACTTTGGATATAGCCACGATGCCACCTAGGCCAGCGATGTGCATAATCGTGTTTTGCAAGGCTATATGGCAATAGAAGGAAGTACATATGTTGGAGATTAGGTGCACATAAGTGCATATCAAATGAAATGACGCGAGGTGGGACACTGGTGAATGAGAGGGAGAGAGAGAGAGTAGGGAAAGTAAGTCAATCCTCTGAGCTAGTTCAGGAAGGACTTCTTCCGCCTAAGATGCGTGTTGAAGGACGCTTCAAATTAATGGAATAGGAAACCCTTTAATTGTCCCGACGGTTCTAATTCTCCCTAGTTTCCAACACACGCAATAAGCAGGGTGAAGCACTCATTTGGATCCTTCAAATCCAATTCCAGAGAAGAGTCTAATTTGGGATCTTTCATAGCTTAATTTGTAACTTCAAGAGGACCGAATCATCGCTAGACAAGTGGAGGAGATCTTTAATTCTATCAATTTAGCGTATACAACGATAATAAAACTCAAATAAAATTCAGTTCTACCTAATTTAAGTAAAATGTCATTCCCCATAGCAAAGACATACTATCCAACTACCTGCTTCCCTAATTAGTACAAAACAAACTATTTATATTACTACCTCACTGAAATGGGAGCTTTTAGCCTTTATCTTGAATAGCAGAAGAATACTGTAAGGTCGAAGATTAAAAAACGGCACCATTATTCTTATAACGGTAAAGAAACTTACTCTCTGCGAGACCCCTTAAGAAAATATCACTAGCTGAACCACCGAGCGAAATATTGGACGTATCGTTATGACTATTGGATTGGATCGTGAACCGTTCAGTCTGTCGACGATAAGGAAGCGAGTTCCTCGCTGATTGTGCCGCAGAAGGTCTTGAAGTAGTCCTTTTTCCATCGCTATTTCGTGGGGAAGGTGAGTGTCCCAAATGGGGCATCCTCATACCTATTCCAGATGATGACTCCCGGGATTCTGTAGTAGTGCGGATTCCGAGACACTCACGGTGGGTACTGGAGCTCATACTGGAATTGAGAAAACGTCTACTTCGTGAGGAGACAACACTTGGAATATCCTCAGTGTACTCCTCTTCTTCCCCAACATTCTGCCCATCCTCCTCCTCCTCACGGTTCGATGAGCCACCCCAGGTTGCCATTGCAGTAGCGTCCATGCAGGAAGCGGACTCCGAAAGACCCCCTCCTTCCCCAGTACAACTTCTGTAAGACCGATTAGTGCCGTTGAGCACCTTATCATCACCCTCATCTGTGCCCTTGTCTCCTGATGTTGCTACAATAGAAGAGTCCAGGGGGATATCGGAAGTATTACGATGCTCCTCTCGCCATATTCGTGCCTCGCGCATGCTCTTGTAAAGTCGTTCTGTGTTGTCTAAGTAAGTTGCTTCTGGTTCCTATAAAAAAACAAAAGACGAGTTCAATTATATATAAAGTAGGAAGAAGCATTAATGCCAGTGATTGCGAGTTACTGATGCCTGAACGAATTCCCAAGTCGACTTGCTCCGCTCGTCAATCGTATTTCGATAAGTTCCATGACAGTTCCTTCTTAACAAGCATGTCATATTCGACAGAATTTGTTTATTTTCACATTTCCTTAGAACTAATACATTCTTCATTATTAGTACTTCTATGGCAGCAGGTTATCTAGAGATTTTTGACATTGAGAAATAGAATAGCCATTAACACCATTATTCCACAAAGCTGCTAGTGGGTTTCGCAGCTAAAGAGTAATCATACCTACTACCAGTGCTTAGTGAGCGATGAGTAACTTTGATACAACAATAAACAGGAACGAAAACGAGGTTTCCTCAGTACAAAGCCCAAAAGGAGAAATGTAACTCCAAACAACTAGCATAAACATAAATGATAAAACAATACAAAGCATAATCGAGATGTTATGTCATTCGCCAAATTCACAGCTGACTCATCGAAGTTAATGGAAGGTGAGGAGAGAGTAATTAGGTCAACTCTCAAAATAGCGATGGTAAATATGTCGAGGGCAGCACACACGTTTCGCAAATAAAGTGCTCAGTGGTCCAACTCAAAGTCTATGGTCACTTCCGAAAAAATATTCGCTTTCATTTTTTTCATTACGAGATTCATTAGAAGTGTGTGTATTAATAAACCTACCTGAAAGGTGACAGCTTCACCTTTCTGAGTGGTTGGATCGCTGTCACTACTTGCGATGGAGACCAGCTGATTACTGCGAAGAGTTGACGGTGGGGTTGAGAGTTCGAGGCCAGAGAAAGTGGTCGGTAGCGATTCATCCAAACGGTCATCCAGGCTTTGGTTGGCGACGTTCTCCTCGGAACGATTTGATGTCCGTGAACGTGATGAAGGTGTCTATATAAATTGAATAGAGGAAATATCAATTCTCACGAAAGGACACATGACAACGCTCAATTTGCCCCATTAAATATAATTCACAGAATAATTACCCAGCCAATTCTCAGACAGACACTCGTCGAATTAGAAGTACGAATGTAGGTGAAAGTCAACCTCCCTTATATGGTTCAGTCACAGCTCTAAAACTCCAAAGCCTATTGGGTAGAAGCCAGACTCAGTCAGAACTCGACAAGCATCGAATCTATGACCTCTGACTTCGCTAGCCACTGCATCATTCTAGCGTTATTTCATGGTACTCAACGTAAAGACTCACATATTGCTCTTGCCCTTCAATCCCTGATGATTGGAAAGCGCAAATTGGCATGATGGAGGCCCAGATCTGCAGTTTGAGGTGCGGGGAATATTGAAAAAAAACCTGCATTTTGCTCCGATAAGGAAGCCTTACATTATAATATAAACTGCTACAGTTCAAGCAAAAGCATTTCGGAGTAATGTTGTTTGTGACGGCTTAGTGCGAAATAATTTGGTATATTTCAATGCTTGAATAAAGCAAGTCAAATCATTGCATTTCATTCCGCTCTGACCTGTGGAATATCGATTATCGATTATCGCTGCGACAAACCTGCCAATTTGCCTACGTTTTAAAAACAATGGGAATCAAATAAACGTGATAGAAACACTTATTTCTCAAATGGCCTTTCACGTCCTACTCTTTTTAACCCCATCTCTCTCTCTCTCTCTCCCAACTACCCCATAGATAAGCCACTAACAGTGATCAAAATCAAATAATTTGCATTCAAGAACCTTGATTTACCAGACGTGAGCGGATAGGCAGAAATAAAGTAAGAACTTGCCTTAATAGAGGCCGATGAAGTTGCGGGCCTTGAAGTACTGGCTTTCAAAGGTGACACTTCATCGGAATTGGAGAAATCGAAGGAATGCAATTCCCCTCGCAATTGCTCTAGATGTTCCTTCCGGGCTTGGAGACGCTTTAAAATGGGAAGAGAATCATCTCCACCTTCTGCGGGAGCAACATCGGAGCTTCCCCATCTAGAGGAGTGAATTAAGGGGCTGATGAAATACGTAAATATCGTTTTACTAACAATAATAATGAATTATGTTGAAATAACACTTACGATTTTGAAGTATCCTCAACTTTTGGCGGTGATGAATCAATGCCATTAACTTCTGTCAAAATAAAATAGTTAACCTTAGTGGCAGACACAAATTGATGAAGGGAAAAAATTGATCCACCTGAATTTATGAAGTAGTCAGCTTTTTTCTGGGCAACGTGTATACTCATAAGGCAAAAACGTTATAAACTGACAATTGACTTCTGTCTTCGAACTACCATGACTCCACTGCGTGTCGTATTCCATCACTCCTACGGTACTTACCTTTTCTTTGCTCTACCTTTATGTCCAGCTCTTTTGTAATTGTGAATAACTCTTCTGTCCCCTACCCCACTCGACTATTCTGTGACTGACGTTCCTCCACTCTGTGAAGCCCGAAGTCAGCATAAAGAGCTAATGATAACTAGTAAAAGGCCAGCAATTTGATATAAATAAATACCTTAATGAATTTGAAGCAATCAAGTCAAGTAGAGTATTAGATCAGTTAATGAGCTTGTTGTCTTGGAGCAGACAATTGAAGCAGACAAAAAATTTTAGGCTACGTTAGGCCAATAACCACTCTCCTTACAACAGGTTGAGCCAAAAAAAACTTGCAATGTGAAATAGTAGTAGATTCAAGTATGCTGTTTGCACCATTTAATGATGTGTTTCAGGAACCAGTGTCGTGTGCCTCGCGAGGTCATTCCTTTTGTTTGGGGTGTGCGAGACTTACCTCCACGTGGTGCACCCTCGGCAACGTATACTCACATACGGCAAAAAAGTCTATTATTCGGCAGTGGACTTCTGACTTCAAACTACCAAGACCCCACTGCATTTCATATTCGAATAATTTCACCTTTTTCTAGCTTTGTGTCTGTCTATCTCTTTTACGTCTGTGAATCATTATTCTGTCCCCCTCTCGACGTTTTACCACTTTAATGTTAAAATTCCTTTCTTTGAAGGATTTTTGCCACTTTGATGTTCATCTTCCTTTCTGTGAAGCTTTTTACCACTTTAATGTTAAAATTCCTTTCTTTGAAGCCTGAAGTCAACTAAAGAGCTAATGATACCTATGAAAAAGCCTGCCATTTGAAATAAATAAATGATGTGTTTCACGATTTGTTTTATAGAAGAAATAAACTAGCAATAGCGTTGTCACTAAAACCGCATGGAGGTAAGACAGCACACACAGGGAGTTCAGGCTGTATCACTATGTGCAGGCTATGTAGGCGAGTGTGCGGCGTGCACGTCTAGGGTCAGGCTTACTGAAGAAAAATCGGGGAGAATTTATTGGAAGCTAAAATTAACAGCATTCTTACACAAAATGATTATCACTTAACCGTGATATAAATAAAGGATATTGCTAAATCAGGAGAATTTCAAGATTGGTCAGTGATAGCCCTAACGGATCTCGTTGACTTTTCACTAATTAAGCGCTTCCTCAAGTATAAATAGAATGAATGCGAGGATAAAACCGAAAATAAGCACCAGAAAAAATGAAAGTCAAAATCAAGTGTCACAGTCAATCAATAGCTCACCCCACAAAGATAGGCTTCAAACGAATAGAACGAACTCTTAACTAACTGGAGCAATGAGGATATTAGAGACGAAGAGACGTCAATCGCAATAAAATCATAGCGTTCAGGGCCAAAATTGCGTACCACGCGAAAAGTTCGTTTGTCCAAATCATATTTATAATCAAATTAGTCAGTAATGTGATTAACTTACTAGCTCTAGCCTCGGCCAACTGCTTGATAAGTCTATCACGTTGTTCAGAGAGTTGGGAAATAGTGAGTTCCATTTCCTGCTGACTTTTAGTTGAATGCTGTTCGACTGCAGCAGCAACAGCAGTAGATTGAGATGATTTTGATTCTGAGGTAGAGGCATCAGCTGCAGTTACAAAACAAAGTGTCAACAATAGTACAAATATTTTACTAATTGATTCAAAAGTAGCCTGTCAATTAAAAGTTAGCTGAACTCACGAGCAGGTGCTGTGGAGGTCACTTCGGTTTTGCACAGCTCTTCCGAGGGCTGAGTAGGCTCATTATCCTGAAACGTTAGCGAAAATCATTTGAAATCATTAATTGTCGCAGTAAGCAAAATTTGCGGCAAATTTTATAATAAACAATCAAAAAATGTTATAATATTGGGTGGGCAACTAAGTCATTGCCGTTTTTGTTGACAGATTCACTCTACTTTCTTTTGTTTTGTTAACGTGGCCAGAGCATCTAACCTATATTTTTTTCTTACTGTATGGGCTTCTAGGCTAATTAGTAAAAATTTTTTGTTTAGTTCTTTAGTCTTGTTTTTATCCCAATTTAAAAATGAAAGAAAAGGACGTGCACTTCCGACACATTTTATTACATTACTTCCGAAAAGGCAAGAACGCATCGCAAGCACAAAAGAAGTTATGTGCCGTATATGGAGATGAAGCCTTAAAAGAAAGGCAGTGTCGAAATTGGTTTGAAAGATTTCGTTCCGGTGATTTTTCACTGAAAAATTCACAACGATCTGGCCGCCCAGTCGAAGTGGATGAAACCCATATCAAGGCCATTATCGATTCAAATCGTCACAGCACAACACGAGATATTGCAGAGAAGCTCAATGTGTCACATACATGCATTGAAAAAAAATTAAAAACCTTTGGTTATGTCAGGAAACTCGATTTATGGATCCCTCACCAGTTAAAGGAAATTCATTTGACGCAACGGATTAGCATCTGTGATTCGCCGCTACTGAAACGCAATGAGAATGAGAATGATCCATTTCTGAAGAACCTAGTTACTGGCGACGAAAAGTGGATAGTTTATAACAATGTTACTCGCAAGAGATCATGGGTGAAGCAAGATCAACCAGCCCAAACAGTATCAAAAGCATCAGAGATTCTCCAAAAAAAGATTATGCTGTCAGTCTGGTGGGATCACAAAGGAATTTTGTATTTTGAACTCATGCCACAGAACCAAACGATAAATTCAAATGTGTATGTTGAAGAACTCGAAAAACTGAAGGATGCAATTGAAGATAAGCGGCCGACATTATCAAATCGGCGGAAGGGTGTTGTTTTCCATCATGATAACGCAAGGCCCCACACATCTTTGGTTACTCGGCAAAAATGATTGGAACTGGGTTGGGATGTTTTGTCACACCCACCATATAGCCCTCACCTTGCGCCTTCGGATTACCATTTGTTTCGTTCCATGCAAAACTCTTTAAATGGTGAAATTTTTAACGACGCGGATGATGTCGGATCACACCTAATTCAGTTTTTTAATAGCAAAGACCAGACATTTTACGAACGGGGAATTTTCACTCTGCCAGAACGATGGAAAAAAGTCATCGACAAGAACGGCCAATATCTAATTGAATAAAGTTATATTTTTAAACAAAAATTCCGAATTTGCCTTCTTATTTGAAATCGGCAATGACTTAGTCGCCAACCTAATAAAATAAAGGAGATAAAGATAATTCGAAGAACGCAGCAAAACATTACTGAGAATGCGAAAAGTCGGAGCTAAAACTTCAGTTGAAACCCGAAAGTTTTAATTCATTCGAAAAAAAACAGAATGGACAAGGGAATGCAAATGAATTAACACCTTTTTTCAGTGAGAAGATGCCAAAAGAAAGCACCATTCGAAGATTCAGGGGATAAGCAAACTTGCCTTCGATTTAAAACATTAATATTGCAGGGTAAGTTGTTGTAAAGAGAATTTTGTAACGTTTAACCATGGTTTACTTTTAAGGAGGGGCATGCGATAGACTTACCTTTACGTGGTGCACCCTGGGCAACGTACACCCATATGGCAAAAAAGTCTATAAACCGGCAGTTGACTTCTGACCTCACTGTATGTCATATTCAACTACTTCGACAGTACTCACTTCACCTTTTTCCACCTTATCTACCTTTGTCTTTGAAACCTTCTTCAGTTCCCCTCCTCTCGACTTTTTTCACTTTGATGTTCCTTCTCTATGAAGCCCGAGGTCAACTAAAGGGCCAATGATAACCACCAAAACGCCTGCCATTTGATATAAATAAACTTTTAAGACGGAATGCCTAAGAGTTCCCGGTTATTAATTCAATAGAACAATTATAGGCCATGGATTCTCTCGATCAGATATATACAAGAATTGCATAATATTTCAAAATTTACCGAAAGAGGAGGAGGGGGTTTATTTAAAAAAAGTATAATAGCATTTAATTCTTCAAACCGACTCTACAGCGCATTTCCGGAATAGTATTTAAATACTGTAGTGTAAACATTATTGCTCCACAAACTACCCCCCCCCCCAAACTCCACCGCCACCTCCCACCACAGAAGGTTGACAACAAAAAGAATATCATCAAAAAGCAATCAACAAATCAAAAATAAGTGCTACAAAATCGACCACATTTGAAAGTGCACAATTACTCTATTCCATTGTTGATTGAAACAATGACAATAATTTCAATAAAAAAATATAATTTAATTAGAGGAACTGAACTGGCAAAATGACAAGAGGCACAAATCGACAAACCCTCCCTTCCCACCCCACGCTCTACCATTTTACAAGTGACCGAAGGCCAAATCAAATGAACACATACGATGGTAGTTTTGAAAGGTAAGTATAAAAAAATAACAATTTTCAAATAAGGGCAACTACAAAAAAATCGAATCTAAAAAATCAACAGCTGCTCTCCACAACTAACTCGAACAAAATCCATTACTTGCGTTAGCCCTCTCTTCTAACACATCAAAATCTAAAAGCGAAAGTCTTAGACAATAAAATACTACCAATAATAATAATAATAATAAAGACAAGATGAGAATGTTGAGAAAAATGGGAAGACCTACGGATTGGTTTTGAAGAGCTCCCTTGATAATCCCCGCAATTGTAAAGAAGCATTCTTTGGTCATTTCCAGGCTTCGACCGAGACTAATCAGGAAGCCACGTAGATCCTTGAGCTAAAAATAAGAAATGCAAAGGCGCAAATAAGCAAGTCAGTTGATGATAACAGGGGCGTGCACAAAAGATGAAGCCTGCATGCGCCATGTTAGAAATGGGGGGGGGGGTTGACTAACTTCCACGCTCTGCAACCTGGACAACGTATACTTGAGGCAAAAAGTCTATAAACTGGTAGTTGACTTCTCACATCAAACTAACATGACCCCAATATATGTCATATTTAACCACTTCCACAGTACTTACCTTACCTTTTTTTCCGCCTTTGTGTCTCTATTTCTTTTATATCTGTGATTCATTATTCCGTCCCCCTCTCGACTTTTTGTCACTTTGATGTTCCTCCTCTCTATGAAGCCCGAAGTCAGCTTAAGGGCTAATGATAACTATGAAAACGCCTTCCATTTGAAATAAATGTTAGAAAGGGAGACAAATGTCTTGCCTGGGGTAGACACGAAAGGGAAGTCTTGAAAAGCTCGGGTTTATTAGTTAAGAAATACATCATATATTGATAATAAGTAATCCATATTTAGCGTACTGCTGATGACCACATGTACCTCCTCTTGGTTGCAAGAAGGCACAATTTAAATTAAACCCTCAATGAACCCGAAAATGAAGGACGTGAGTTAAAACAATAGAGGTTTGCATACTAAAAGTTGTGGCAACTCAAAACTTCAATAATTCGGAAAAAGCTCCAGTCTTGACACGTTAACTTAATTATATGCACCCAATCGATCGTCTGTTTAAACTTTTAGTGCCCTACTTCTCACTCTGCGGACAAATGATATTTCATGATTAGAACCAGTAGAAATTTTACGATACCATATGAGTAATAAAATGATAGATCGCAAAGTACACACAAACCAAGAAGACCAAGAGAGGTCAAGGTAGTGAGGTTTGAGATTTGCTCTTGTTAATCGTTCATTTTAAGGCGCAAGTATGCAAGTATGATTTTCAAGAACTTGGTAAACTTAATAAATACTTTTTATTTAAAATTTTGTGGGCTATTAACGCATAGGGAATTGTGTGCATGGATTCAAAAGCTACGGGCAAAATACTCTCAGCCAAACAGTTTTACACTTAAATCAATTACAACTGATCAGATAGACAAACTGGACGCATGTGAAGGTTAACCAATGACAATGGAGGATAATATTCCTTACTTCGCAGCATAACACGCCTACCTCACAAAGTCGAATAGGCGCGCTTGCAAGAAATACCGATGGGAAAAAGAAGTACTTTATGTTAAATAGACTGCTGCAATAAACATCAACAAGGTCAGAAGACCCCCCCCCCTCCCCCCTCCCCCCTCCCAAAAAAATCAATCTTTTTAGCCGTTACATGAGTGAACTGAGGAGAAAGAGGAGAAATGCAAGCAAGTTATAAAATCCAGATATGCGTAGTAGAAATTTCTAAGAAAACAGACGAACAAGATAAAAAAAAATCCATTAAATAAATGACAAAAAAAATTCCCAACAAGAAAATCGATTAGATAGGCCATGAATGCCAAGAAATTAGCTAAAGTAGCCAAAGGAAAACTCACTGCGAACTATTTAAAGTCACTATAAATTGAATAAGCAGTAAACACATGAACGAAAAAAGAAATGTAAGCAAAATATTGACGAAAGTGAATGCAACCTCCATAGAAAAGCGAATAGATAGAACTCTAGGCATCTTCAAAGTAATCCCAAAACGTGACATTCAAAAGATGCTTTATGAAGGTAAACAAATAAAACCTTTTTGCCACTTACTTGACTAGCCTTGTATTCATCCGAGGCATCTTCAAGGTTATAAATAGTCTAAAATGTAAAAACGATAAATTCCAAAAAGGAGAAAAGAAAATAATAAATGAATAAAAGCGTTTTACCACTCACTTCATAAGCATTTTTTAACGAAAGAAGACGAAGATTAATCTCCGTGATGCGTTGCCCAACATCATTTAAGTGACTAACTGTGTCGCTCATATCCAGACCGCTAGTTAGATTCGTTAAACGACTAATCAAATCCTGATAGCGAGCGATTTGTGAGAGCATGGCTAAGAGTTGAAGCTTCTGTCTCTGAGAAAACACAAAAAAACTCAATTTGAGCAAAAATATATCTAGAGATAGAGAATAGCAACAAAACTACTTCGTGATGAAGACGCCATTCAGAGGGATCAATGGACACAGAAAGCTCATCAGGTCGATCAAAGCGTAATTCAACGGAGGGGGCATCACTCGAAATTTGGCGAAATGACGACGTCGATTCAAGAGAGATATCATTGGGACTCGGCGATTTTGGGACACTACTCTTTAATAAGATAGAGGTAACAAAGTGCAATTTATTGTTTTACCAT